TTTCAAACTCTTTTGCTTCCATACATTCGAATTTTTTACCTAACTTTAATAACATGAAAATTAAATTTTGTTATTATCAAAATAAAAATAACAAAATTTTTACCTAACTTAATTTAATTTTATTTTAGTTCAATGATTTTGATACACTCGTTTGTTTACAACATTTTGTTTTCTTGCCTACACAACTCTTATTACCATCTATTTCTAAAAAAAAATGGAATATTTTAAGAATTTGGAAGCAAGATGCAAACGAAAACTAACTGAATGGATCGAGTCGAATTACTTATTAATAGATATACTTTGGTTTATAATTGCATTAGGGTACAGTCGTCTTGGAAATACCATACATCACAAAATGCTTACATTTTTTTTCCATTAGGTGAAAAAATGTCGAAAGACGAAGAAGGACGGCGCTATCTGCTTTTTTCCTCCGACAGTGGGGGAGCGTGACTCCTACCCTAAAAAATCACCTAACCTCTGAATGGATTAAATTGGTCCTAAAGATCAACTATTACCTCTGCGCTAACTTGGATTTTCCGTACAGGAATTGAATACCTTCCATAGGCAAATCGATATTTCGTGTTAAATCGTAAGGTCTTGTTCGTTTAAGTGTTTCTGTCGTAACGCCATTTTCTAGCTGCTTTACATGCTTATATGCTGTTCTAAACGAGCTCTTTGCTTTGTAGCATAACTTTTAATTTCATCTACAACCAAAGAAACCCCAAGGTATCTGTGAATGTCACCGTTCCGCATATACCATGGCTCATTTACCATGCGCCGTAGAACCTTATTCTGGAAAGTTTGAATTTTTTTAATATGAGTCGGTAGGAGCCAATAATTTTCTCTATATTTTCTAATCCTTTGTGTTTCTTCTTTATATGCCCTTTCCACCTTAGCTTGACATCTAAAATCATTCCTAGGTATTTTGCTGAGTTATGGATTGGTATGTTCGGTCTATTTAAGTTAATTTGTGGTGGATTCACTATTTTCCGATTGGTGAAGTTTATGTGAGTCGATTTTGCTTCATTCAACTTCATACTGCCTTGAGGTACAGCTGGTTTTTTTTCCCTTAGCGTGGAGTATTCAGCGTCTTGTTTAATTCTAAATAATCTATCAGCTAAGTAAGATTCTAAAATTACTACAAATGGCGATGGTTACATTTGTCCTAACTTAAATATAAGGCCTTTGTGTCATACCTTGTCGAATGCCTGTGCTACGTCTAGAAATATAGAGGAGCAGATTTCTTTATTTTCCAAGCTTTTTTCTATAATATTCGTTATTCTATGGACCCGGTCTATTGTAGAATGGTTTCTTCTAAAACCAAATTGATTACCTCCGCGACTTTCCAAGCACAAGGAACATACCCAAAATCCATAGCTGAATTCATGATTTTCATCAAATGTTCTCTGGTAGCTTTCAATGCCTCGTCTGGTAGCTCTCTCAGTACTTCCGCAGTAATAAGATCAAAACGTGGCGATTTTTTCGAGTTCAGGGATCTTATCTCTTCCGCAATTTCCAATTGAGTAATTGGAGCTATGCTGCCGGCTTTTGCGATAGATTCTACTAAACTTACATCTGATGTTATTCCGTCAATGTGAATATGCTTTCTAAGTGATCAGCAAACACTTTCTCCATATTGCTCCTCGCCCAACTGCCATTTCTAATCGGTCTCTTTTTGTTCTTTGCCGCCTTCCATAAGGAATAATTCGTTTCCTTCGTAGCTGACAAGTTCTTTATATAATTTTCGTACGTTGCCGATTTAAATTCTTGGATTTTTCTTTTAAGCATCTGGGAAAGTCTGCTTAAAACAGTTTTATCATCAGGGTGACGCGAACGTTGCCATCTACGTCTGGCTCTCCTTTTTTCACCTACTAATTCAGTTATTTCTCGAGGATAGCTATTTGTTGTCGGTTTGTACTTTGACATTTTTGTATTGTTCCATGCAGCTCTTTGTATGATTTTAATAAATCCTTATAGATCTCAAGATCTAATTGTTCTCTTGGTTGTATATTAATATTTACGTTAATATTGTTTATTATTTCGTATTTAAAGCTCGCCCAATCTGTAGTGCTATTTATCAAGCTGGGCTTAAATAATATTTTAGTTATTTTTTCACTTAATTTTAATATGACAGCCGAGTGATTTGAATCAAGGCTTAAAAAGTTTTCTGATATTTTTTTGGTTATAAAAAAGTCAATAACATCAGGAATCTTGTTAGTGTCAGTAGGCCAATAAATAGGACTGCCAGTGAAGTGATAGTAACAACTTAGTTCTTGAGTAGGTTTTCTTACCTCTTTTCCTCTAGCTGAGGTGATTCTAGAACCCCAATCATATGTTTGGCATTATAGTCACCTCCTATTAGATATCTGTGTTCATGTTCGTACAGGAGATCTTTTAAAGTATTTTTCCTAATGCTGCAATTTACTGGACAGTATACAGCACCAACACTAAAAATCTGTTTAGTCGATTTAATTTTTATCGAAATAAGCTGAATTTCAGCTGTTTCTTCATTATGTTCTATACTTTCTCTTATTAGTATCGCACTACCTCTTCTTGTCTGATTGCTGTACCGCTTTATAGTAATCATAGCCTTTTATTTAAAGGCACGCATAATGTGTCAAATGAGCCTCCGACAGCAAACGAATATCTATAAATCTCGTTTTAAGAAAAATCTCCAATTCTTGTTTCTTATTAAGAACACCATTAGCATTCCAAGTTACTATACATACCTCATTTACGTACATCTTTTCTTAATTTCTTTGGTATCCCCGTATACACCTCAGTGTATGCATTTTCTATTTTTCAAGTCAAATGCATCATTTGCATAATGTCTGCGTCAGTTCTTTTTATTTGTGGGGTTTTGTTCTCAAGTTCCTTATTTTTCTTATATTCTGTTTTGCTTTGAAGCGCTTGTGAATACGATACTCCCTTTAGCACCTTGCTATGTGCCGTTATTCTGGCTATTTTTGGAACTCTTTGCTCATTAAATTGCCTCATTGTTAGTAATCTGTATTCATTTTCATTTTCCACATTTATTTTTAATTGGTCGTTATTCATCATATTGACCCTAACGATTATTCTTTCTTCTTTTAATATCTTAACTATGTGGGAGTAGTTTTTTATGTTGCTTCTTTGAATTTTCAGCCTTCATTTTAGGGTTGATTTCATTATTTCTTTTAACTGTGTACTCTGAATTTATTTCAAGAGACTTTTCCACTTTTCGCTTCTTTGCATTATTCTGTCTTAGAATCCAGTCAGTTTCTCTAGCCAGTTCTTCCTCGTCGGTTTCATATACAATAACTTCCGCATCTTTGTTCTTCTTTTCTGTTGATGCAGATTTTATTTGATTTTTTAAATCTACATTCTCGTTTTGTAGCACCTTACAAAGACTGGGTTATTCTCGAGTCCTGAATATCCAATTTACTCTCCTGTAAAAGATGCCTTCTCATATTACCCTCTTGGGTTTTCATTTTTTGCCGTCTGCAAACTTATTAGACTTTTTCTCAGAGTTGTCATCCTTAATTCTGCCATTTTTGTCGGCAATCACCGATCTCCTTCTAAATGGGTCCATCAACGCCGATCTACTATGCAGTAAGTGGTCTCCCCCAGAATCCATGACCAGCCTCCGAAGAGTGTAGGTTTTCCAGCGTTACTGAATTACCATCTGGGGTATTCAATCCGTGTGTTTTGCTCATTGCATTTGTTTTGCTTCTTTTCCTAGCTTTTGAGAATAATTCCCTCGTGCAAGGCAGCACATAAAATTTCTGCCATCTCATTGTGAAAGAGAGAGCCGCTCATTGTGAGGCCGTCGCGTCTGGATTCTTTTTGGATTTTAGTGGACTCTTACCAGAAGTATTCCTTACTGGGGATATTTCGATTAGAACATAACAACATGCTTTAAACTAATTGTTGTTGCGATTATTTCCTATTTATCAAACAGAAAAAAACAAGTTGTATTATGAAATTATTTTTGAGTCCACCTGTACAGTTATGAGTTATCTATACAGAGTATGGAGTACATTTTATAGGCTTTCCATTTTTATAAAACGCATAAGAACTCAAAAGTATAGTTTTGTGTTCATTTATGGTTGTTGTTAAATATTTTTAAGATATTTATTCACAGGTAAAGTTTCAAGACGAATTTAAATATGTGTGCAACAATAGACAACTTTAAAGATATTTGAACCGCAAAAAATGTGAAATAGTATTTTAAAAAATGTTTCATTATTTTTAAATTTATGTTCATAATTCAATATATATATATATAAATATATATAATTGCTAGTAAAATTAATATTTTTAATATTTTTAAAAAATTGCTTTACTGGTACAGCCAACTTCATGATTTAAATTTGACTTTTACGAAAACGAAAATTTAAATTATAATTTAAAATAGCCTACAATTTGCTTTCATTGAAAAGAAGACACTATGGTATTGTTAAAAATTGCTAAAACATCAAATTTGACATTGTCAATTTGACGTAAAGGTACACTGCGTTATATGGGAGTGTACTTAATTTTTCTTATTAAGAAATATAAGAGTCCTGGCTGCCCATGCGTTATAAGATCTATGAACGGCAATAGTAAAAATTACTCTATGCACCTCAGTTTAATGGTAATTTAAATGATTTTAATTAAAATCATTTAAAATATAATGAAGAAAAGTAATTCTTTGATAGAGTTTGGAACAGTAATCAATTAACGTTTAATTTATATGTATATATTATATTTGTAGCAAAATCTGAGTTTTGTAGAATAATTGCATTTTGATATGATCGGACTTTGTTGTGCACTTAATATTAGATTGCCGGATATGAAAACGTAGCATAACTTTCAAAGAAACGATTTTGCCTTATAAAATATTATTTTAACCTTCGTTTGACACTTATAACCACCAGATTTGATTGAAGAATTTGTTAAGTATGTATTCGCTTGCTGCTTTTAACCGTATTTACGTATAATCGTTTTTTTCCATGTGGCATTGATTATTTCATTTCTGATATATTGACAAAACTGTCAACGGCTTGTTATTAATATATTATAAAACATTTTCCTAACTCAAAAAATTTCAAGTTAAGATAAGCAAGTTAAACATGAACTTGGTCAGACAAAAATGCTCTCATGCCTGTGATCTGTTTTGCTATAACCTTTTTTCATTGAGACCTATATTTCATGTTACTAATTACACACATAATGCAAGATTCCACAGAAATTCTCAATTGTTCGCAGGACATTCAAAGTGGGCAAATATAAAACATATCAAAGCAGAAAAGGATGGGCAACGTGCCGTAACTTTCACGAGAATGAGCCGGCAAATTAGAATGGCTATTCAAGGTAATATTCTTTAAAGCAATTGTAATTAGTTTCTTTTTGTATCTTATACTTATACTGTAGAAGGGAATTCTTCAAATCCGGCAACGAACACGGCCCTTAAAAATGCCATTGAATTTGCGCTCAAGAAAAATATGCCGCTGTCGACAATTCAAAACACAATTAAAAAAATAGAAGCCAGCAAAACGCAAATAAAGGAACATGTTTTAGAAATCAAGGCTTTAAATAAAGTTTATATGATTTGTGTCTTGTACACCGACAATTTGGCAACGTTAAAAATAAATTTGGCCCCTATATTGAAAAAAGGAAGGCAAGTTTATCAATAAAAGTGCTTTGTTTTCTTTCTTATAAATCCAATTAAAAAAAATCTAATTTAGAGCTTGTTATTCAGAATGTCGACATTTATTTGAGGATATGGGATTGATTCAAGCGATTGCTCATAATGAGATAAAAAACAAAAGTAGTGTTGAAGAAATTTTTACTGAAGATGCCATTGATGTGGGAGCTGAAGAAGTTGAAATAATTGATAAGGAAAATGGTGTAGTTAATGTACGTGAATAATTTTATTGAATTCACTATCAACTATTGTATTATATTTTAATATTTTCATTTCAGTTTTTATGTTCTCCAATCGAATTAAACAAAGTGAGCAAAAGTTTATCAGCAAAAGGTTATAAAATTGAAATTGCTGAACATGTTTTCTTACCTTTATCTACTGTTAATATTATTAGCGAAGACTTAAAATCATATAAAGTTTTAAAAGACAAAATATTAACAATCGAAGGATTAGAAAGAATATATGATAACCTTGATCCAGATATAGATAGCTAATATACATATGTAATAAACAAGGAAAATTAGAATATTGTTAACAAAACTACTCAATTTAAGTACAGATATACGTATACTGAAATATAGTTCCTGATTTATGTTTGATATCAGAAATTAGTGTATGAAGGCCTGATCGTGTTATTGTTTATATAAATGAAAAAATATCTAAAATATGAAAAAAGGCAAGTCGAAATTAAAGGCAAATTGTGTTAAAAAATTATCATCTTCGAAATATTCTCACAATGACTTTTGTATGGCTTTGACATACCCTGGGTTTTCATCAATTCATCTTGTTATTATCAATCATTGTAAATTTTTAGTAAAACTGAGTAAAACAGAAACACATGATCTACAAAGCTAATAAAATACCTTCCATGCAGGGTTGTTACTCATGGAAAAATTGATGGGTCAAATTCAAAATCAATGGATCAAAAAGGACAATTTTTGCAGTCTAATTTTAATTTACATCAGATTTAAACTTTTATTTGAGACTACGTTGTGTGAAAGTTGTGTGAAATAAATTGTAAAATTTATTGTGAAACTTATCTATTCTCAAAAAGAGAGATATTAAAGTAAAGAGGCCAAATACGATTTAATAAGAATAAAACAGATCATGGGACTAAAAAGTATCAACCTCGTTTCCATATTCTAATTGTAAAACATTTCAGGTTAATGGTGTGGTGATAAAATAGAATTAGATATCGATTTTTAAATTTTATTGGGAAACGGAATGACGACGTTCGAAAGATAAGTACTAAATATTCAGAAAAGTGTAAAAATGTGGAGCTTTGGATGCGATAGGAAGGCGAAAATTAAAATGCAAATCCCTCTGCCCATCCTTTAACAAAATTTGGATAACTCCAAAACTTTGCATTTTTGTGATTCCATAACTCAATTGGAAATCGTGAGCTTGTTTAAATATAATCGTGCTAAAAATAGTAATTAAATTCTGGTAACATTGGCATAGTAGGAAGAGTTGACATGATAAAACTCTCGTTCAATATATTGTCGCTTAACTTTATTCCGAACTTTTCAACACATTTAATTTTGAAAAATTACCTGCTTTATTTGGTTTGATTTTGTTATGAAAGGGAAAAAACAGCAAATCAAAAATTACGGAAACGATGCTATTATTTCCGTAAAGAAAATAAAATTTCCCAATGTTTCAAAATTGATTTTGAAATTTGTTTTTTTGTGGTCATAACGGTTGCAATATATCAATTTAATGAAAATCGAGTAAAAATTATAATATAAATTCTCAATTGATGCCAGGAACTATTTTATAGACTTAGAAATTCATATTTTTCAGCCTTTTACATTCTACTTTCCAGTTTTAAAGAAAAATGTACTGAAAACTAAAGAATATATGAAAATACTAAAGGTAGGTACAAAGACCAAATATGTATTAAAATTATAATTTCTGATGTGAACGAATATCCTTTTCAATATTTTGAAAAATAGAAGTTTTCCTTGAAAGAAATTTAAAAAGCGTTTTTATTTATAAAAAAATATTTATAAAAAGTACAAACACAAATACAAATATTTTTGTTAGAAATACCATAGACATATTTAAATAAGACTTGACAATACGGAATTTACTAATCCATTCATACGGTGTATTGAAAATTGATCATCGTACTTTTTGTTAAGAAATATATTTTATACTAGGTATTTTCGAATAAATTAGAAATGTTCATATGGTGATTTGGAATGTTTGTAAAATAAAAACGATTAACATAAATACCAAAAATATGCAGAAGTTAATTTATTTCATTTAAATATAAATAAAATTAATTTCTTGTTCTTACAAACTAGTTACTTATTACAGGTTACAAATTACATTATAATAAATTACAGGTAACAAAATATTTTTCAGTTAAAACCAAAATAATAAATCAATATTTCTTAAAACTAGTAATATTTGATGAGAAAAGCAATTCATCTTATGACATAAATGTACCTGTGTATCAACTAAATTCACAAAATTTTTTAATTTTCTTTTATAAGACATTAAATTACATATTTATTTAAATTATTAAAATCTTAACATTAGTACGTACTTGATTAAATTATATTTGCCACAGACAACAAAATAAAATTTAAAGTTCTTACAAATTAAAAACACTTGGGTGGTGTAGAACTCCTTTTTCCTAATGCTTGTATCCATTTGTCCCTGATGACTTCGTTCTTTGGCAAAGTAAATTTAGGTATAGCATTTACGTTCTCCTGTTCTCGTAGACTATTGCTTCTGTATCCTTCGACGCAACACTTTCAGGGCACTTCCATTTATATGAACGTAATCCATTATAGTATTGTATTTTATTTAAATACAATTACAAATAAAACTTTAAAAAGTACACCAAATCTTACTTTATTATTAAGTAATTTTTCTTTTTAAATAAATTTTAGTACTATTTTTTCAAAATCCACCTTTTTTTGATACAAAATACGAGAAATAAAAGAAAAAATTTATTTATATATATTATATTTTTTATTATTTTCATTTTATTTAATAAGACGAAAAATTAATATAATTATTCACTAAATTTAATTTAAAATTAAATTTTAAACAGCAAATAAATTATTTCTTATTAATTTGTAAAATTGCATATGTATTTTTGGGAAAATGACATTTCTGAAGAATTATTTTTTTGTTTTTTGTTTGGAAAAATTATGATTGTTGCCTTATTTTCATTTCGAGTTTTCTAAACGAAAAGTTGAATAAAACGTAAAAATTTTCTGAACAACATATCAAAAATTTAAATTTTATCTCAAAATTTTAACTATAATTTTGATTAAATATATTTTCGAGTTTTTTCCCGCATTTTTTTGTACCGCTGTTGTCTGACATAGACAACATATCTGAGAGAATTGAAAGTAAAAAATGATTATACAGTGAATAAAAAAAAATTTGGTGTTCTACTGTTTAATCTAGCTACACGACTTAAAATAAGGTTAATAAAAATTTTATAAGATTTTAATTTAAGTTTTCAATTATTTGAATTTAAGTTTTATAATTATGAAAGTGCTTTCAAAATTTTAAAATCATTATAAAAGATGCGTCGTTTCAAATTGTTCTTTACATAAATACAAACATTAAAAAATTATAAAGGAACTTGTATAAGTTTCAAAGTTTCTGATGCGGTAGTTTAGATAAATCAGTGAACTAGCCTTACTAACAATGTGAAAATATTTCCTAATAAAACTAAAATTACATATGTACATACCTACAAAGAATTATATGGACTTTTAATAATATATAAAAAGAATTCCCATATGCAATAATTTTTATGAATTGAAGCATATAAGTTTAATTAATATAGTATACACATGGAAAATATATAGATATATTATGTAATTATATTATACACTATGACAAAACGTGTACATATTAACGCAGTCTGTACTTTTAATAATAAAATAAAACATAGTGTTCTAAAAAAAATGTTGAAAATTAAATAATATGAACTGAATATTATGATTTCAAGATTTTAAAAATTTTTGGAAAATTTCTGAATTATATATTTATTATCAATATGTGGTGATGCATATTTCCACCAATTATATTTGTATTTGTGTTTGTGTTTTTTATAAATATACGCATTAGTATTTTTTACAGAAAATTATATTTTCCAGTTTTTTAAAAAGAATATTAATTTAAGTCAGAAATTATAATTTTAGTTTTTGGTTTTTGTCCCTACTTGAATATTTTCATATACATATTTGCAATATTCAGTATATTTTTATTAAAAACTGAAAAGTAAAAATTTAACCTCCACAAAACTGAAAAGGAGAATTTGAAAAGTAGAAATATAAAATGTTCAGATTTTTTTGCATGATTTTCGATGTAATAATTTATGGGAATATAAAATATAAACTTACGACATCTTACGATGAAATGTAAAGAATCTACCATTCTAATACACAAACCAGTTGAAGTTTAAGTTTCTGGTTTTGTGGTTTTTAATATATGAATTCGCCATCTAATGGCAGTTCAGTGCTTTAAACGAACTCATAACTTAACTGACGCATAGATTTCACTAGAAGTAATTTAGAATAGTATATTTTTACCATGTAGATGACTCTATATTAATAACAAAATATATGAAATTCGTTTGTAAAACTAAATAGAAATTAGACTAGAAATTAAAAAAGTAAAAACGTTTCAGTGTTATAAAAACTTGTTTTTGCAATATTCAGAATTAATTTTTACGGTTGTATGGCAGTTACTCGAACCTGTCGATCTGAAAACAAAAATTTCACGCATATGTCTGACCTATAATTGAATATATGACTGTCAAGTTTCATGAATCTAACCTTATTATTTTTCCGAGTATGTATTTAAAATTAGCTTTCGCAGTTATATGGCAGCTTGATGAAATTGTTTAAAAAAAACATTCATAAAAGACTTCAAGTACATGTGTTACCTATGTACATGTGGCACATAACTGCGCAATTTCATGAGCCTAACGTTATTATTTTTTCGAATATTTAAAATTGGCTTTCAAGTTCAGTGACAGCTACCCGAACCTGTCAAGCCATTCTATTAAAACTTTGAGAATTTATATTTTAAATTTCATGCAGCTAGCTTTATTATTTTTCTCAAATTTTAAAATTAGCTTTTAAGGTTGTATGGGAACTACTCGAATCTGTTAAGCCATTTTTTATTAGTTTTTTGAAATATTTAGAACAAACTTTTTGAGTTGTATGGCAGCTACCCGAACCCGTTGTTTGAATTGGTCCAACAATAATAGAGTCCGTCCTTGGCACAAAATAAACAACTTGTGAAAGTTTGGTTGAATTTGCTTTATTCGTTTTTGAGTTTATGCTGAAGTATATAACATATACTGACTTGAGTAGGAATATATATATAGAAGGCTAGATGGACGGACGAACATTTCTAAATCAACGCAGAATTTTACGCTGAGCTAGAATATATATACGTGCCCATGCCGGAGACGATTCCTTCAATTGGTTACAAACTGCATGCTGAAGTTAAAATATCCTTCACAAAGGTATAAAAACTAATTTGATAAAATAATTCAATTTGAAATAATTCCTTAATTACCTAAGCAACAATATCAATTTTGTCAATGTTAATATTTTTATATAATAAAAATATTATATAAAATTAAATTATAATAATTAAATATCGAACATAACAAAATTAATAAAAAGTTTACATAATATATTATAGCAGATTATAGTATATTAATACGAATAATATGAATATCAAATGCAAAAAGAAAGTTTTTTTTAAAGATTATTAATAAATGGCAACACTACTGGATTGATACAATTAATAGTTTTTTTTATATAAACGCGAAATATAGTCATACCGATTACTTGAAATTGCGAGGTCATTCAAATAACGAAAAATTAGATTAATAACTTTTCCCATAAAATTTTTGAAGTGAATAGAGTGAAAAATCTCTTTATTTCTCCAAAAAATATTTAATAAAACTTCAAAAAGCTAAAAAGAAAAATTTTTTATACGCGCATAGTATTTATACCTACATATATGCAACCATCCAATTATGTTACATGTTTCGTGTAATGTATAGGCTAAGTGCTTGTCAGTGATTTGTGCGTTCATGTACTTGTCTTTGCAAAATCGTTTCGATTAAAT